TCATAGCACAGTACCAGGTGTGTAAATAGGTCATAGCACAGTACCAGGTGTGTAAATAGGTCATAGCACAGTATTAGGTGTGTAGTACAGTATTAGGTGTGTAGTCCCAGGTGTGTAGCACAGTATCAGGTGTGTAGCACAATATCAGGTGTGTAGTATCAGGGGTGTAGCACAGTAACAGATGTCTACATGGTCATAGCACAGTACCAGATGTGTACATGTATGTAACAAATCTTTTTTTGCGCTAGTTGTTCTAAATACTTCCAGTCGTAACAAATCTTTCTTGTAACCCTTGCAGGACGCGTCTCAACTTTTTCATAAAATGTTTACAATTGTTTGTCTCTCCACAGAAAATTGTTATGTATGAATGGCTACCAGGCTGGTTGGCGATCTACGCCAATGGATCGAAGTTTGATCTCCCTAGTCTGTATCCTTATGGGGGCGGTGGCCTGAATCAGTACAAAGGTATGGACAGAACCAGCACATAGTTTCTAGGAGAGTAGGTGAAAACAAATTCGGACAATACATATGGGCAATGGTCGGCGCCAGGACACGATAATTGTTAAACTAAAAGCTGGTTGATGTTATTCAATTTTTTACCTTGTCTCAAAATATTTTATTGTTCAGCGACTAGAGTATAGCCGGATAGATTTATTGCTGTTGTTGTATCTCCAGGTTATGACCCTAACGTCCATCCTGGCATCAGCACAGAGTTCCAGGCGGCGGCCTTCAGATTTGGTCACACTCTGGTACCGTCCGTTGTTTACACCTTGTAAGTTCTGGTCAGCACATCTTGTTTGAGATCACTCACACACAAACTGCACACCTTGTTTGATAGGACTCACACACAAACTGCACACCTTGTTTGATAGCACTCACACACAAACTGCACACCTTGTTTGATAGCACTCACACACAAACTGCACATCTTGTTTGATAGCACTCACACACAAACTGCACACCTTGTCTGATAGCACTCACACACAAACTGCACACCTTGTCTGATAGCACTCACACACAAACTGCACACCTTGTCTGATAGCACTCACACACAAACTGCACACCTTGTCTGATAGCACCTATAGACCTAATGCACATCTTGCCTGATAGCACCATTATACATTTTAACACAAAACTCCCACTGTAAACCTTACTTTAGGATTTTCACTATTTATTAGCACCAGTAAACTTAATTTTCGAATACAATATTGTAGCTTATGTATTTATATCCGAATATTACAGCACACAGTATCAAAATCAATGCCTAGTAAACGCTCGCAATGTCCGGGCAAAGTTTACTTCCCAGCCTGAAGGGGGAGACAAGGGGGAGAGTGTGAAAGGCATCAGGGTGTGTAACTCCTACTGGGTCCCTGAGGTAAAGCATCACGGTATTCCGTGGTTAATATTTAATATACAACAATCACATGTGTTAAATATAACCATACCCTGGCTAAATCAATAAAGGCAGGGTATGAAGGACTAAACTACTACACTAGTCGTACCAGAATAAGAAATCGTATTTAAAACCTTAAAGCAACATTTGGTTTCAATTCATGTTTGTATACATTTTGTTAAACTTTCATGTTAATATTTTAACCGGGTGATTAGAATGTCGTTATCATTAGACTACATGAAGATCTTGAAATTATATGCATCAAACATTTAATACAAATGTACCTAGCATTAAAACAGAAGATATGAATAAGATTGTAGAACTCAATGTTTCTTAAGTCTATCCCCAATACAGAAGTGGCACATACCTTGTGGCAGTAGAATATTTTTAAAGAGAATATTTGAAAAATTATGTTACAGGAGACAGTTGAGGTGGAAAACGGAATGGATGAGTTAATCCGAGGATTAATTTATACCAGATCTACAAAAGAAGATAACATCATTGTATCGGATTTGAGAGGTATTATTTGGCTTTACTCATCCTAGACTAACATGGCAATTGTGATGTGTGTTATAATGTGCAATAATAAATTGCATGTATAGGCCTACACGTAGACGTAGACAATTAAGTTAAACAGAAGAAAATTCCAATTCGCGTTAAATTTACCCTGTCTGTAACAATGTTTCTTCCAGACCTTTTTTCTCCAGGGTAGGCACTTGATACTTTGGGGGGGTGGATTAGATTTTCCGGGGAGGGGGGGGGGGCGGACACTTGTAAAAGTATGTTTTCTACATAAATTCCATTTCGTTCGATTCTTTATCTTGTGTCATTTTATCATTGTTACAAAAGTTACTGCTGATTTCAATCAATGATGATGCTCGTGTATTTAGTTTGTCTTCGGCTTTGTTTATGCTCTAATTTAAATAACATAATATGTTTTTATGCAAACTGAAAGACGAATATGAAATATGATAATATAAACCCTCTCGTTCAGAGGACGTCTTTGGTTCACTGGATTGGTCAAGACGAGACCTGGGAGCTTTGAATATTCAACGTGCACGTGATCTGGGACTTCCGGGTTATAACGACGTACTGGAGGCTTACGGGTTGCCAAGGAAACAGAAATGGGAGGATATCAATTCAAACTACTCGCAGGTATGTTAGTTTTTAAATATGCTATAAATAGTTAACTCGGAGCTGTAACTTAGTTTGAAACTATTAAAAAAAACATGAACAAGTTACAAACGAACTAAGATAAATCATCTAGTCTGCCTTACAATAAGACATTATGGAACGGAGTGGTCTAGCGGTAGAGCCAAGTATAGAGCTGGGCTATTTTTAGTTTACATACTTATATATAATATAAGTAGGCTACCAAAGGCAGTAGGCTTACTTTTATCATGGTTGGCAGGGCCATATTCAAGTGGTTTTTTTTATATACTACTAACGTGGCCCATGTGGGACAGAGTGGTCTAGCGGTAGAGAGCTGGACTGCTAACCCGTAAGTCTCAAGTAGTCTCAAGTTCGAATCCGGGTTCAAGACAGTAGATCATCCCTGAGTCCACCCAACTCTGATGGGTACCTAACTCACGTTAGGGAAAGTAAAGGCGGCTGGGCATAGTGCTGACCACATTATCTCTTCACAGAGGTCACAGAAACAAGTGGACTCTACTTCACTTGCCCCATAGACCGTCAATAAGTCAATTATTCCGTTTGAATTTGATTCATCAAAAGATGTTTGATATTGTTTGATTTAGATTTTGAGCGATCTGCGACAGCTATACAACAACACACCGAGTCCTGACGAGCTGGATGTATTTGTTGGTGGTTTGTTGGAGACCACAGACGACGGCCCTGGGCCTCTCTTTCAAAAAATTATTCTAGAACAGTTTTTGAGGATCAGACACGGGGACAGGTTCTGGTATGAGAACGAGAAGAACGGGTAAGTGTCTAGTGAGACAATGGATTCAACCCAGAGATTAAGATGTTATTTTTTATTGACGTTGTAGCTGATCATGCCATTTCTGAAGTGGCAATCTTTACCACAGTTATCGCAAATCATTGTTGTTGGTACAAATTCGGCAGATTTTCTTTGTTTTGTTCCTCTCAGTCTCAAAGGCTAACTCAGACTTGACAAAGCCTATATATATATATATATATATATATATATATATATATATATATATATATATATATATATATATATATATATATATATATATATATATATATGTATATATATATATATATATATATATATACATATAGGCCTATATATTTATATATATAGACCTAGTGCCTAAACCTATTGTCCTAAAAATCCTGACATTTGAATAAATTTGTAAACATAGGCCTAAATAAATGTGATTTAAAATTATAAAACTGATATGTTCACAGATTATTCACTGCAGAAGAAATACAAGAAATTGAAAATACAACTCTTTATGACGTGCTTGACAGTGTTTCGAACGCTTTTACACAATTTACCCAGATTCCTGACAATGATGTCTTTGTATGTAGTAAGTCCTGTGATTCTTAATTCTATAAACTTTAGAAAAACTCATTAGAAAAACTTCATGTAAATATAAATGTAAATAAATTATTCAATCCCCTACACAGACATACATAGAATCTAGCACATAAAAAAAAACAAATACATGCACCATTTCTTTAAAATATACACATTGCATTGTAAAGTAGGCTTATAGATTTGTATTCCATGACAGAAACAGTTAAGTTTATCTATTCTTCTCTATTTTAAAAGTTGGCGTATAATTTAAATTGAATAATTTTGTCTAAAGAAAACAACATAAATAATGACAGCCGCAACGATTCAATGGATTGTAGATGCATCGACCCATTTGTAAATGCTACAGAAACCCATGAGGTGTGTGTGCCTCTACAACATTATGATTACTTTTCTGGGAGTGAGGTCCCTTTTGTTATCACAATTGCAGCCATTGTAATTTCAGTGCCAAGTAAGTATACTTTTAAATCTAATTCTTCTTTAGTATACACATCTTGAAACACTAAATCGTTTGACATACATTAATACTTATATATATATATATATATATATATATATATATATATATATATATATATATATATATATATATATATATATATACATATATATATACTTCTAAATATATACTTATATATATATATATATATATATACATATATATATATACATATATATATATATATATATATATATATATATATATATATATATATATATATATATTTATTTATTTATTTATTTATTTATTTATTTATTTACTTATTTATTTATTTATTTATTTATTTATTTATAAATATATTGAATATTGAATTTTTATACGTTTAGTTACTGTTGGAATCATGCTTTTATTGGCTAAACTGAGAAAGAAATCCCTCGCCAAAAATATTGCTAATTCTGGCCACTCATTCTCTGATGGTCCCAGTCATTTTTACGGTAGGTTATGAATTTTATTAATACAAAATTTGTTAATTTGTTAAGTTCAAACTGTTTGCTATACCATTATAATTTAATTTTGAATTAAATCATTTCAGGCTTTTTCTGTTTTCACAGCAATTAATTATTTTCTAAATGCATACAATGAACAGGGGGATGCCTGTAGTTTCCGTGGATCAGGGTAGGGGAAGACACTGGTTCAAGCATATATTTTCTACACACTTTATATATTTTTTTGTATTTTCTCCGAATGGGAGAGGTAAAAAAGGGGTAGGACATGCTCCAGCCTTCCTCTACCCACTCAATGGACAGATGACTGGAAAAATAAAGACTTCATTGATTGGGGAAGGGGGGGGGGTTGGCCTGGTTGTAAAATGACACGTTAGATATGTAACATGGTGGTTCTTAAAGAGTGGTAAAATCTTGCAAAAAACACTTGAGACATCTTATGTGTAAAATTTGCATATTTATGATATGTATGTAATATTACACCAACAATGTCTTTAGATCTAAAATCTAAAACTAAGTTATGAACACAAGAATGTTTTTAAAAAATTAAAATATATCTTTACAATGGCATTTCCCCACAGCAACGGAATGGGTTGGCAGGACCACCTACGGTCAGCTAAACAGCAGAGAGGTCAAGGTCGAGTTGAATGACGATAGGATGAAAGTTTTTATCTCTAATGTCAGTGGACAGGTCATACGTTTGCTGGATCTCAGACGTAAATCCGACGGTGATGGAAGCAAGCGCAAAGCTTCGGCTACTCGGTCGAGCGACAAGGGAAATAAACTCATGATGCTGGCCATCCCAGGGGAGATAGATCTAGTGAGTCTGTTTCTACTAGCTTGGATAATTATCATTTATGTGATTGGAAATGTAAATAAAAGAGTCAGTGGTAATCTAATAGAGCACAGGTTCCCAGTCTATAATTCATAATAGGAAACTGTTTGTTGGAGGTTGCAAACTTGCAGACTAAACCAAACAAAAACATATTTTTGCAATTGTATTGGTTTGTGTGGATGACTCGACTATATAATAAGGGGTGGACCTCATAACATTTTGGAAGTCTGTGTATTAGATGGAAAGAAAGTAAAATTTAAACAGTTTTAAAAGTTTGTGTGTGAATTTTCCAATTAATATTTTATTGTTTCATTGCACTCCCCACCAATTTTAATTATAGGTATATTCATGTTTTGGGTAATTTCTTAAATTTGTTTCACTTCCAATAAAATGATGGGGAGCATTGAAAAAATATGTGAGTGATGACTGATCTTTTTGTAGCTAGCTGGCCATGTATCTCAATTTCACTCATCTCAATGAAAGTAATGTCGCCTTTTATGTTCTATAATTCTTACCTTGATTTTGTGATGCTATTTGATCCCTGTCCAAATATTTTTACTGCACTACACACTAAAGTGTGTAATTCTGTAGAGATAGTTACTGTTCCTGATAATCAGAGTGTTTTCCCTTGGTTATAAACTTTTTTTTAATTGTCACATTCATTTACATTTATAAAAAAATTTAAACTAGCACTTTAATTTGATGGGTTGTCATTTAATGAACTAACTTATCTAGTATTTATATATTTTAGAAAAAACAAATTCATTTCCTCTTTTAACAAATTTATCTTGTCTTTGCAGGTCCTCTATTTTTCATCTCAACAAGAAAGAGATAGTGCTTTCAATAAGTTGTTTGAGTTTTTTCAAAAACATGGATGGGATTATAGCCCAAGTAAGATGTCAAAAAACATATATGTCCAAAATATCTTCCTAAGTTTTCTACAAAAACAATATATTGTGCAATTGACTTATGTTTTTTATATATTAGATGTCAAAAAATTTCCTAACTACTGTTAATAGCAAAATAGATAATTAACTATTATTTTTTAAATTTAAAAATGTAACAGTTTTATTATTGTGTGGATTTTAGCTCCAAATTTGGCTGAACATGTGATGTGGAGGGAGGCCTTAACAATAGATCAGAGAAAAGAAGTTTTGGCCAGATTTTTTAAAAGTGTTTTAAATGAGGTAAATAGTAATTTTATTTATTTGTTTACCAACATTTGTGGTGTTTTTATTTTAAGTCAAAATATTTAGCCAAGCAAAACTTAAACTGTGTGGTGAGGGAGTTGATGAAGAAGTTTTACACACACACACACACACACATGCATATATATATATATATATATATATATATATATATATATATATATATATATATATATATATATATATATATATAATACATCAATCTATTCCTAATCCTAACTGCCTAAGTCCGCTGTCCTACACTTTACCTCTACTATCTCAACTATCTGCTAGTCCCAATAATATCTATGTTCAACTGATTTCTAGCATGTGACCGGTCATCTGGCTGCTCATTTCTCAATAGTCCTCATCTGCTGGCTACTCTACCTGATTCATTGCTTGACATCTGACCTATTTCTAATCTTGCCTAACTCTACATCATCAAAAACTGTTTCCATTTATTTTATCCATCACCCAGTTATCCGGAGGGGACATGAGAACTAACATCAACCCTGATCAAACTGAGGAAGTTCTGTCCACTAGACTCACCAGAACTGAATTTGCTGATGCCCTTGGCCTTCAGCCCCACTCGTTGTTTGTCAGGAACATGTTCTTGTTGGTGGACTCGTCAGGAGATGGATTTGTTTCATTTGAGGAGTTTAAAGCTTATTTTGGTATTTTATCTTCAGGTCTGTAAGATTTTACTTTCACAGCGTCCAGCTAAAAACATAACTTTGTTATTTCTTTCTTTCTTTATGGACATCACTGGCTCAGGAGGCATCTCTCATTAGCTAGGCAGGCCTCGACAAACCATCTAACTGGCTTAGATACTGTTTTGATGGCCGTGTATTGGTTGCTTCTGTCCTTTAATTCTTGCCAGGCTTATCTTCCAGCTCACTGAACTTCATTATTACTTAGAGCTATAAAATATATTTTATCTAAACTTATGGCGTCTTTGTTTCTTTTTACCAAACAGGTAAACCAGAAGATAAGGCTCGAATGTTCTTTAAAATGTTTGACACCAACAGACAAGGAAAGTTATCAAAGGAAAACTATAAGAAAATGATTAGGTAATGTGTAAATTTGCCTGAAGAAACTATTTTAGAAAAGAAATTATTTTATTATTTTTCTTTAAATTTTTTTATCCTTTTTATTTACTATATATTATTATAATTTTGCATCTATTTGTTACATTTCAATCCTATTAAACCTTTCGTAAAAATACAACAAGAAACACTAACTTTGCAAAAAATACATCTATTATTATAATTCAAAAAAATTATTTTATTATTTTTGTACAATATTGTTTAGGAAATTTCCCATGTGCTAATAATTTTATTAAACTATTCGTATAGATCTCTGTTGGAGCTTAATGAAGCAACAGATACGAAAGCACTAGATATAAACAGTATGGTGGACACAGTCTTTCAACAAGCTGGCAAGCATGACGAGGGTTACCTGACCTTTGAAGACTTTAAAAATATTATGTTCTCTGGCAATGATGGCTTGTGGAAGTCAGCAGTATTGACCTTAGAAGGTGTGTGCTATTTCAACTAAAGTGTCAACTAGGCTTTTTAATTTAAATTAGAGACATGTTGGCATACACACATTTCAGGATTAAATTAGTGAATGTGTAAATAAATTATTTTTTAAAATTTTGATTAGTTGGTGGAGGTGTGGCAAAACTAGGCAAACACAGGAGCACAGTGAGGGATAGAGCAAAATCTTTTATTGAGGGATATGAGTGAGTATTAAAGATTAACAAGAAAATCTTTTATTGAGGGATATGAGTGAGTATTAAAGATTAACAAGAAAATCAAGTAGAATATCAAATTTATTTATTATTTATGAACTGTATATATTTTTGCACAGTGAGTGCATATTATTTTTGCACGTTTTATTATATATTTTGCAGCACTTAATTAATGTATTTTCAAATGATAAGCTGTGAGATTTTTGTTTTGACTTAATACAACAGTGAAATAAGCACTATGCTTTATAACTTGCAATATTATCAAATTATCCATTTTCAGAACGGTTGTTAGATCTAGTATGGCTCCTGCTGCAAATCAAAGAGTCAGGTTGACATCTAAAAATGAAACAGCTCCAAAGACAAAGACTGGGATGTTTCTCCGCACACTCACCCGCTATGTCAGCAACCACAACAGACAAATATTCTGGGTGACTCTCTACACACTGGTGACTTTGGGAATATTTATTGAAAGAGCTTTATGTGAGTTTGGCTCTGCTGAGTTCAATCAGTGGCAGTTTAATTCTCATTTATGATATTGTGGTGTCGGTGACTTGTACACAGAAAATGTAATACTAAATTTTTTTTTGTGTTGCCTCTTGGTCCCATTTACTCAAACTATTAGGGAAGTTGATTTTCCTGAGCTTAGACCAAATGGTACACCAAACCTAACAAAATTATATCACATGTAATCCAAGTGATAGTTTTATCTAGTAGTATTCTAATACATTTCTTCATAGTAAAACAAACACTGAAATTACAAAAATGATTTATGATGCAAATCAACAAAAGAACAATGTAATGCTTATGATTTATAAAAACTTGAGCAATGTAGAGTAATATCCATCATTCAAGCTTTTCAAAGCACCATTGACAACCAGTTTGAAAAGAGTTTTCTTACTTTACTTTTACTATGTGCTATTAAAGATATATAATTATTTTATGAATGTATTGTAAAACTTAATGTTCAGATTATTGTATTGGATGAGTGTAAAACTGTGCTCAGATTATTTTCTTTGCTAAATGAGAGTATAACAATTTATTCTCATTATTATACCTGGCTAAATAATAGTAAAACTACATGTTCGGTTTATTTTACTTGGCTAAATTAGTGTAAAACGTTTTGTTCAGATTATTTACTTTCCTAAATGAAAAACCATGTGTTCAGATTATTTGCTTGACTAAATGAATGTAAAACCATGTGTTCAGATTATTTGCTTGACTAAATGAATGTAAAACGATTTGTTCAGATTATTTGCTTGACTAAATGAATGTAAGACGATTTGTTCAGATTATTTGCTTGAGTAAATGAGTGTAAAACCATGTGTTCAGATTATTGCTTGACTAAATGAATGTAAAACTTTTTGTCCAGATTATTTGCTTGACTAAATGAGTGTAAAACTATGTGTTCAGATTATTTGCTTGACTAAATGAATGTAAAACCATGTGTTCAGATTATTTGCTTGACTAAATGAATGTAAAACCATGTGTTCAGATTATTCTTTTGAGCGTGAACATGCTGGCCTGAGACGTATGGCAGGCTACGGAGTCTCTGTGACCAGAGGTGCAGCCAGTGCCCAAATGTTTACCTACTCCAGTCTCCTGGTCACCATGAGTAAAAACACCTTAACATTCTTCAGGTGAATGCTTTTTGACAGTGAATTAGCAATTATTTTTTTTTGGGAAAAGGTTCTAATCATTACTTTAAAAAAGCATTTGGCATAGGAAATGTGTACCTTTACTTATTACATTGCTTCTATATTCATTTTGGACTTTTTCCTTAATTTCAACATAATTTTCTTCAGTTGTTTTTTTATACAGAAATAGATGTTTCTCTTGTTATTTTAAGCCATACTTTAGATTATATTAAGGAATATATATATATATATATATATATATATATATATATATATATATATATATATATATATATATATATATATATATATATATATATATATATATATATATATATATATATATATATATATATATATATAATTGTTTTAACTCCAGCACTTAAAGGGTTAAAAATGTAATTTTTTTGTCAAAATGGATACAATGAGGTGATGATAGGTTATTTTATTTTTCCATGTCACCTAATTAATCCAATATTCTTGTTAATTTTATATTTAAACTTCAAAACATTCTGGTTATTTTGCAGGGAAACATTCGTACACAGGTACATACCTTTTGATAATGCACATGACATGCACATTTTTATAGCAGCACTGGCTGTTTTATTTACAGGTAATTAGAAAAAAATTATTTGATAAGTAAAAACGTACTTATCAATTAAAACTTTAAAGCAGCAACCTAAAAAAGAAAATGTGATTGTTTCTGATTAAATAAACTGAAAAAATAATGTATATTTTTATTAGATGGTTAAATTTTGTATTGTTGTTCTAACAGTGATACATGTGATTGGTCATGTGATCAACTTCTATCACATTGCAACCCAGCCCTCTTCTGACCTTAACTGCTACTTCACTGAGTTTTTCAGACCGTGAGTGTAGAGACCATTTTGTAACATTTACATTAATAAATTATAGAGATATTTCACTCTTTGTTAAATACACTTTTGAGAAACATTTTTCAGATATAACATTTAGTCCTAATCTGATGTAAAACTGTTAATATATATATATATATATATATATATATATATATATATATATATATATATATATATATATATATATATATATATATATATATATATATATATATATATATATATATATATATATATATATATATATATATATAAACAAATTTAAAAAAATAGAAATAAATATATATTTATATATATATATATATATATATATATATATATATATATATATATATATATATATATATATATATATATATATATATATATATATATATATATATATATATATATAATGTGTGTGTGTGTATATATATATAAATATATATATATATATTTATATATATATATGCATGTCATCTGTATATATATATATATATATATATATATATATATATATATATATATATATATATATATATATATATATATATATATATATATATATATATATATATATATATATATATATATATATATATATATACATTATATATATATATTTTTATTTATATATATATATATATATATATATATATATATATATATATATATATATATATAGATGACTAGAATCAAGATTAGTTTTTCATTAAATAATTAACATTATTAGAAACCAATGCTCAACTTGAAGCAGTAAAACATATTCATTTATTGATTTGTATTGTTGTTTAGAACTCACGTTTTAGCAAGTTTCCAATACTGGACCTATCAAACTATAACAGGTAGGTCAATATAATTCTAAATATAGGGCCTACTAATTAAAATTTAACCTATTACACATCAGCAAAATTTGACCTAAGTTGAATATGTTATAGTTGTGTATGTTATCTTTGCTCCTCAAATACAGGAATGTATTTTTATATAAAATATTATTTTTAGCTATATTTTGTATGTACAGGTCTAACAGGCGTTGCCTTGGTTTTTGTAATTGTTGTGATGTATGTTTTTGCCATGCCATATGCCAGGCGGAATGTCTTCAAGTATTTTAGGGCAACACATAAGTAAGATTTACAGAGTCTTTAATTTTTTTTCAAAATAGGCCTAGGTAATATTATAGGCCTTTACAAATTGTTAAAAGAAATAAAATTCTATAATCAATCATATTTTTTTTTCATAACTTAAAATTAATTTAGAAATTTATTTTATGAATTTATTTTAAGTAAAAGTGAGGGTAAAATATGAAATGAAAGTTAGTTTGAAGTGGAAAAGCAGTTCATCTTAGACAAAATTCACATTTTTAGACTTTTTTAATGTTTAAAACAAGCGTAGTGTGCATAAGCACTTGGTCAGTTTATTCTCATCAATAATGAAATTTATTTCAGTCTGTACATTGTGATCTACATCCTGCTATTTCTTCATGGCCATGCTCGTCTGGTACAAGTACCACTTTGGCCAAATTATTTCCTTGGGCCAATGGTTCTATTTGTCTTGGACAAACTGGTATCAGTCAGCAGAAACAAAGTTCTTCTGCCCATCCACAAGGCAGTTCTACTTCCATCTGGTATGTCCTTGTCTTGTGGCCTTAATTTACAGCAGCATTAAAGTTCTTGACCTTAATCTCTACCCTTAGTACTTAACATAGTAATCTCAATCACATTTATATAATTTACATATATTTTGCCACAAATTATCTGTTATTTAATTTACACTTTAATGTTAAGAGAAAAAGTTTAACTTTACTTCAGTCGCTCATAGAATATTTGGTCTGTAAGTGCTGTAATTTTAATCAATTTAAAGAACATTTTTACCATTTGTACACCAGGTGTGATAAATATAATAATCAAGAGACCCCTGGGTTTCAACTACCAGTCTGGGCAATGGGTCAGGATAGCCATTCCACAGCTAGGCAAGGGAGAGTACCACCCCTTCACACTAACATCCGCCCCACATGAAGAAAACATCAGCTTACACTTCAGAGCTGTTGGGCCATGGACCAATAATTTAAGGCAGTTGTTTGATCCTAACAATCCTAATAAAGTCAACTTTCCAAAGGTAATAATTCCTTTTGACTTTCAATTGCATATTTCAAAATTGAATGAAAAAAAACCCAGTTAATCCTAAACATTATTTAATTTCATGGTTAAGATTTATCCATAAATGACACCATCCTTTTAAAGCTTTTTTTACCTCCCAAATCCCCACCCTCAATCGAAAACACACTTCAATATACCACCTCCCTGAAAATTGCAGTTTTTGTATTTTCAAAACATTGACGTCTTTCTAACATATTTACAGAACTCGGTCAACATTAAGTGTAATGATCCATTTCTATATAATGTATTTATAATAAGGAAATGTCTTTTAAATTCTAAATAACAGCTAACATTTATTTAGTTTTTAGGTTAAAATCTTTAAAATGCTAAAAGTGTGATTTCACACTTTAAACCTTTGCCCCTCCTTATACATTGTCACAAAATGTTACCCCACACCCTACTCCTTCACCACACCTACACACAAAACACACACACACACACCACACACACACACTTCAGAAATGTTGTTTTATTCAATATTAAAAAACAGTTCCTTTTTTTCCTTATTTTAATAGTTTGATATTTAATTGACTAAATGCTAGCCACTAAAATATATTTTCTAATATATTGTTTAAGCAATCCACATGTTGAATTTACAACATTTTAACTGTTTTAATTGATGAAATAAACATCCATGATTGTATATTGCTAGGCTTATATAGATGGACCATTTGGTGAAAGCCACCAAGACTGGTTTAGATTTCCTGTCTCTGTGTTGGTGGGGGGAGGGATTGGAGTCACACCTTTTGCCTCCATCCTTAAAGACATTGCTCATAGAGCCAAGGATGTCAGCACCAGGATACCATGTCAGAAGGTGGGGAGTCATGATTATATTTTTAACCAAACATGTTTTCAGTGTGTTAAAACTATTTAAAATAACAAAATTAGCTTGTAGTTTTTTAGTTCATTTTTTAGTAATTTGTAAAACACTACACTTTGAGAAAATATATTTAAAAAAACAATGTGAAATTATTTATCTAATCCTTTTTATGTGTAACAAACAGAATTTAGTCCTTAATAGAGTATATTCATATTGAGAGCTGTTGACGTCTGGTTTCTCCATTAGTTTTTTACTAGTATTGATGGAATATTGGTTTTGGTAGAGAATTTGAAAAAAAAATATCCAAGTATGTGAGCACACAATTGCTCAAAATTTAACCCTGTTAAATGTCAATATGTTTTCCAAAGTGTGGGTAGCATGAAACCTACAGTTTTGAGTGGATGACTGAGATCATGCAGTTAATTATTGATTGTGTTGTCTTTATAAAAACAAAAGGTGTACTTTGTTTGGGTGACAAGATCATGCAGTTAATTATTTATTGTGTTGTCTTTATAAAAACAAAAGGTTTACTTTGTGTGGGTGACAAGAACCCAGCAGAGTTTTGAGTGGATGACTGAGATCATCAGACAAGTTGAGGCTGCAGACACTCAAGGATTTGTTGATGTCCAGATTTGTATCACACAGCTCAAGGAAAAGTTTGACCTTAGGACCACCATGTTGGTGGGTTGACTTTTATGGTCACTTAGAGGCCTTTATTAGGCACTATAGTTAAGTTAACATTCCCTGATAAACTTTCAGCCTTATTACTTTACTATTACTGAAGTGAACAGAGTATAAAACAAGTTAATAGGCTTCAACACTTAAAATCTAGAGTTTTTTTCGAAGCAATACATTTATTGTAAATTAAATGGTTATTTGATTATCTAATGTTAACATACCTAATATTGTTGATTATTTTGTGCAATTAAGCATTTTATTGTTTGCAAATAAATATGTTTTCCAGCTCTATTTTTTGTAACTAGTAGTTTATGGTTTGTAATTCTTTTTCCCCTAGTATATATGTGAGCGCCACTTCCAGAAAATTGCTGGTGTGAGTATGTTTACTGGTCTTAGAGCAAAAACACATTTTGGCCGTCCAAAGTTTCAAGACTTTTTTGAAGCCATCAAATTTGTGCATAAAAATGTAAGTGTTCAAAAATTAGTATTAACCGTAATAATAAACTCAAAACATATTTGAATACTATTAAACACTAAAAAAGTTTGAGAACCAACCTCAATGATATGTCAACTCTTTTAAAGAATCACCTAAAGCAAGTTGTTTTTTAATTTATATTCTCTGTTGCTTAGTACTTCCCTAAATGTATCACAACATCCACAGGTCCACCAGATAGGTGTCTTTAGCTGTGGCCCTCCTTCTATGACAAGAAATGTTCAGCAAGCTTGCACAGAAAACAACTCCTACACCGGCCCTTCACTGATCCACTACTTTGAAAACTTTTAAAATCTGATTGGTTACACAGATTTCAATGTCCACAGCAATAGAGATCTGGTTAAAAGCAAATTTTAATATAATTTTTGTTTGAATTTCACATTTTGATTGCAAATCTCTTAAACAGTTCTTTTAAAACTCTTAAAATTTGTATTGTTTACAAAATGAGGCCTAGTTTTATAACATGGCTTTAAATATTTTTTAAGTTTGATCTTATAAAATATTGTATATCTATATCAAATTAATCATTTGAAAGACTTAATATTTAGGATATTTTGGAAAGGGTATTTTTAGATCAACTCCAGTATTTTGCAAATATTTTATAAAAATGTAAGTTTTTTACTTTTAGTTTGTGTTCTAAAATTATAATGCCAGTTACATATTAAATATTTAAAAAGTATAATACTCATTTGTGCTTTTTACAAGCTTTTATTTAACTCACTTCCTCTGTCGTCAGTCGTCAGTCTGTCGATAGTCTAGATCGAAACGTAGGAGTGAAAATTCGGACAGTTCTACTTGACCGATACGATTCACAGTTGGCACGTGGGTCAAGACATGAAGACAATGCAATCTGAAACTAAATTTGACTTAATTGGATGCCTAATTAATTTTTTATGAATTAATTAAAATTTGGACCGAATTAGTTGGCATGTCTATCCAACCACACCACACGCGTCATCACTTTCAATGACAATAGCTGCGCCATCAGGTTTAATAGCTGTGCCATCACGTTCAATAGACGCGCAATGGTTTTTAGACATGTAACACTATTGTAAATAAAACATGTAAAGTACTGAACATACATTTCATAAAAAAACGTTTTAACAACAAGCTTTTATGTAATGATGCACTAAAAAGTAGAAAATAAATTATACACTACTATTTAAATTACTATAAAGAAAAGCGTGGGTCACTTTAGTACTTTAGTACCTATTGGATACCTTTACTAATATTTGAGAAGAGACCCAAGCTTTTCTTTATAGTAATTTAAATAGTAGTGTATAATTTATTTTCTACTAATTGGTGCATCATTACATAAAAGCTTGTTATTAAAACGTTTTTTATGAAATTTTTTTACCATGTCATCTCATTGATTGATTGCAGACAACACAAATGTTAGAACTATTTGTCACACCATTTTGTTTTGCTTTGTCTTTTAGAATTTTTATTATGTAAGTTACATATTTTATTAAACATGTGATTTTACATCGTAATTTTTTCACCTATTTATTTACCTTTCACATAAAACCGTAATAAATACTGGTTAACACTGTTTTTAATTTTAACCTTACCAGTGAGAAAATTGGTGGCCGGAAAGAACCGCAACGGAAAAAAGCGCAACGGAAAAAAGCGCAAATCAAAAAGCGCAACGGAAATAAGCGCACACGGAAAAAAGCGCAAAGAGAAAAAAGCGCACACAGAAAAAAGCGCAAAGAGAAAAAAGCGCAAACGGAAAAAAGCGCAAAGAGAAAAAAGCGCACACAGAAAAAAGCGCAAACAGAAAAAAGCGCAAACGGAAAAAAGCGCAAAGAGAAAAAAGCGCACACGGAAAAAAGCGCAAACAGAAAAAAGCGCAAACAGAAAAAAGCGCAAAGAGAAAAAAGCGCACACAGAAAAAAGCGCAAAGAGAAAAAAGCGCAAACGGAAAAAAGCGCAAAGAGAAAAAAGCGCAAACGGAAAAAAGCGCAAACAGAAAAAAGCGCACACGGAAAAAAGCGCAAACGGAAAAAAGCGCAAACGGAAAAAAGCGCAAACAGAAAAAAAGCGCAAACGGAAAAAAGCGCAAACAGAAAAAAGCGCACACAGAAAAAAGCGCAAACAGAAAAAAGCGCAAACGGAAAAAAGCGCAAACGGAAAAAAGCGCACACAGAAAAAAGCGCAAACGGAAAAAAGCGCAAACAGAAACAGAAAAATGCGCAACCAGAAAAAACACAACGAAAAATGTGCAAAAGAGAAATTTAGCACAAAGACCATATGGACTAGATGACACATTTATACATGACTGTTAGGGCTGCTGTGAGAGTGTCGTGTTTGATCACGTGATCTACTACCATTTAAAGCGTACCACTACCATCTGCATTCCCATCACCACGATACAGGCGATAATCACTTTACACAATGCCTATTATTTTCTTGGTCAATAATTATTCAACTACTATTCTCGTATAAACATAAAACTATCGACATTACACGAAGTATCTTTCACATTCTCCCTAGTCCGAACTACCTAGCTTGCATACTATAACAACCCGTTCCTATGGCAAAACTTCACTCCCTAAATAACTCCAGTTATTTATGTTTGCATATTGTCAACTTATTTACAGTTACCGTTCTTATCCCACTCTTGCAAAAAAAAAAAAAATAAACCGGGAGTGATCTCCCCTAAACTTTCTCGAATATTCTTATATAAAACAACAGGGTATGGTAACTAGGGATATAGTTATGATTTTTAATCCATTTTAAATACTTAAACTTTTAAAAATAGAATAGAATCTCAGTAAAAAACAATTGCACACCAAGCGAACGCCTAATAAAGGTGTGTATAATAGTGCGCAATAGTATTAGTACTTAATAAATTTACATTAGTTTTTTGAGAAATCGGAAGTAGCGTAAATTACTACTTCCGGTCAACGGAAATTATTCAAAATTTAACAGAAGGTAGAGAATTAGATCTTTTACTTACATGTGAAATTTCATTTATCTATCTGAAATAGTACTCAAGTTATAGGCTTTTGAAAAATTCAAAGTAGGAAAAGTACCACTTCCGGTTATCCGAAATCGCTCAAAAGTTGATACGGATCTACGATTTTGATAAAATACTTAAATATAAAATTTCATCATTCTAGCTCTAACGGTACTCAAGTTATCGTGTTTACACACGGACAGACACACAGACACACACACAGACACACACACACACACACACAGACATACGGACAAGATTGCAAAATTATGTTTTTCCGTAGGACTCGTCAACCAAACGGATCAATATCAGAATATGTTGCTGCTTTACGTCATCTAAGTGAATTTTGTGAATTCGGGGACACGCTGTCTGACAGACTATGTGAAAAGTTTGTGACAGGTGTAAACAGCCCTGATGTTCAAAGAAAGTTGCTTCTCGAGACAGATCTAACATTGGAAAAAGCAATACAACTTGCAACTTCGTTCCAGCAGTCATCCGATGCGGCGAGATCTCTGACGCCTTCAGGGATCCATGCAGTAAACAGCAGGTTAGTCAACAAACACCAACCCCATCAGAGCATTTCGACTTATGCTAAACAGCCTGCACGTTCAAAGCCTAGATCTAAATCTAGTAATAATTATCAAAAATGTCATCGATGCAACGGTCCCCATGCATCTCATCGATGCAAGTTCAAGTCAGCAACTTGCTATAAGTGCAGTAGGCAAGGTCACATTGCCAAGGCCTGCTTTGCAAAGTCTTCGTCTGTTGCTACATCTAGCCAGTCAAGACAGTACCGCAACCAAAGGCAGCACTATGTTAACTCTCACCAAGACAGCCAAACCCAACCAATTAACCACTCTACCTGTGAAAATGCTCAAACTTATCTGCAGCCAGAGTTCAACCTGTTCTCTGTGAAATCAACAAGTCATGCTCCCATCAACGTACCAGTTTATATCAACGGTAAGAGCATCATCTTCCAACTTGACACTGGAGCATCTCTATCCGTCATCACAAAGAAGGACTTTGACGCAGTCACAGGAGGATCAGTGCCTCTACAACCATGTCACAAGTGCCTAACAACATACACAGGTGACAATGTTCCAGTGATAGGAGAGTGTATGGTTCATGTAAGTTATAATGGTCAAAGTGTTAAACTTCCTCTTCTTGTGGTTGAAGTAAATGGACCACCATTACTAGGTAGGAACTGGTTAGTTGATCTTAAGTTAGACTGGGGGAGTATATTTTCAGTGAACAAAGCAAGAGAATCTAGTTTTACTTCAAAAGATAAAGTTATATCTGAAAATGAAGGTGTCTTTGGTAGTACAGGATTACTAAATGATAGAACAGTGAAGATAAGCATTAAAGACACAAATCCAAGATACTGCAAAGCTAGAGTTCCACCTTATGCAATGAGGGATAAAATTGAAAATGAGCTAAATAAATTGGAATCTAATGGCATCGTAAAGAAGGTAGACTATTCTGATTGGGCAACGCCCATTGTGCCAGTGTTAAAGAAGGATGGTTCCGTAAGAATTTGTGGAGACTATAAAGCTACACTGAATAAGCAAATAGAGCTAAATAGGTACCCTATTCCTAACATTGAGGAAATTTCTTTGAAGTTGGCAGGAGGAGCTAAATTCACTGAATTAGACTTTAGTCATGCTTACACTCAACTAGAACTGCATCCAGATTCAAAAGTCTATACGACAATAAAAACTCTACCAATATGAAAGACTATGTTTTGGCATATCATCTAGCCCTGGAATTTTCCAAGCTGTCATGGACAGTATTTTTAAGGATATTCCAAATGTTTGTGTTTACTTTGACAATGTGTACATAACTGGTAAGAATGACACTGAACATCTTAAGGGGATATGCTATGTTTTTTTCTATTTTTTACAGTTTAAGATCTAAAGCCTTTTGAATACTTTTATCATATTTAGCATATTAAAGTAAATATTAAACAGCAAAAAAAAAAGGGTCGAAAACAATTTTGGTTGTCATGGAAACCCAAAAAACCTCCGCCATTTTGAATTTTTGGGTACTTTTAAAAATACTAAGGCTTTTTTATTTATGCACCTATAGCAATCAAATTTAAACTGCTTATATTTCAGTATATATTAAAACTTTTGTCACGACAACTTTTTGAAATTATTACTAGTAAGAATTTTACACAAAAAAAAATCGGACCCTTTTTAGTATTCAATAGTTTCAAAATGTGCATATTAATTACCAAATACTTTTTTTCTATGAAAGCAATCACAATTCCCTCGTGACAAAAGTTGTATTTTTGCATGAAGAACATTTACTGAAAATATGGTTGGCATAGTTTAATAAATGAAAAAGTAGTAGGCTTTTTAGTGTTAAAAACCGGCGAACTGAGAAAAACAGCCAAAAGTAACAAAAAGTAGGTCACGAAAATACCATATATGTGTAAACTGCAAAGCCGATTGTAAGCTTCGGGTATTTCCGAGATGTAGGAAATTAAGTTTATTAAATACATGAGAAATCCAGCTTTCCAATAATGTTAAATACAATATAAGGACGGATATAAAACTTTTCATAGAGAGCTTGTTAGATTGGGGAATATTGATTATTTTTTAATTAATAGGGACATAAAAATGGTAATTCAAACACATAAAATATTTTTTTTTTCTTTAAAGTTATTATTTTCTTTATACAAAAATGGACAAAGTATCCAAAAGTGCAAGAAACCCATCATGACGAAAAACAAGAAATTTTGTGATTTTTTTCCGCGCAGATCCCCTTAAAAACACTTGATAAAGTCTTGAAAATAGTTGGTGAAAAAGGTTAAAAGATAAACAAAGATAAATTTCAATACATGCTGACAGAAATTAGTTTTCTTGGTTATAATTTGAGCAAACAAGATCTCAGACCTCAACCTGAGAAAACAAAAGCCATTAAAGAAGCACCCAAACCTGAAAATACCCAACAGCTAAGAGCTTTTTGGGCTTGATAAATTACTATGCGAAGTTCATAGGGAATCTGTCTGGTAAACTATCACCACTGTACAAGCTGCTGCAGAAAAATGCAACTTGGCACTGGGGTAAACAACAAGATGCTGCTTTTAATGTAGCAAAAGAAGCTTTGTCTTCTGACACCTTACTAACTCACTATGACCTAGGGAAAAGACTTATCTTAACATGTGATGCTTCA